GTATCTGAAGCTCAGCAAATAGCATCAACTAAGTTCACCCAGAGGTTATTCTAATTCCTTCCATCAGGGTTTCAATCTAGAGACTCGTATTATCCCGTTAATTAAAGTGACCACCTTTTTACTGTCGCAGCTTCCCCCTCAACAGCTAGCGCGATGGTGATGCTGCACCCGGCAGACACCTCTTTTTAAGAGGACCCAATACCTGCTGGGCAGGTGCCAAGCAGTAAGGCAACACGTGATCCCCGCCGCACAGCACTGCATCCTGTGGGACTGCAAGGTTTGGGAGCTGCAAACATGCAGTGAGCGATAGCCACGGACCCACAGTCGCTCCCATTGGCTGATGTGGAAGGTCCAGCAGCGACATGCTGTAAGCACCTCTTGCAAATAAATGCAAGCCTGCCAGGGGCTGGCGTACCCTGTAGAAGTCTGCACTCCTAAAAGGCTCGAGTAAAGTTGTGCTTCGAGCAGCTTCGCTTCAAAACATTTCGCTTCAGAAAGGTTTGGCTGCTGAATCTCTTTCACACCGGCGCTACTTGGCCACGTCCTTTCTCCTGCTGGCTGGCTCGGCAGGCAGGTGCGCTACCTCTGCTTTGCTGCAGGCACTCGGGAACGTTCGCTGCATGTGTCAGACCACAATACACGCTGGAGGGCTTTTTCCACCTCTGCTGGCAGTGCTTGTAAAATAGGTAGGGCTAGGTTTTGGTTTTGGTTTTGGTTTTGCACATCATTCACTTCTTGCTTTATGAACACTAGCTAAGTGGAGGTACAAAAATGTCATTTGCTTCAATTGAAGCACTCTACAACCTCATGCTAATCTTTCCTTGAACAACTTCCTTAATAACAGAACTTCCTCTTTTCTGCTAATATCTCCGGGAGGTGTATTTTGGTAGCACATATACATTCAGCTGCCTGCATTTGTTTTTCCCTAGTTGGTGCCTTTTGACCCACATATCTGTTAGGATGAGCACATGTAGTACTTTGTACTGGATCAGAGAGAAGAGCTATGCTGAAGGCTGGACTAATTGCTTCTCTGCAGCTCTGCAGTAGGTTATGCTGTGGCATGACAGAGGAAGGAAATCGGTAGCTGCTGTACTTGTTTTGTTTGCTCTGCCACTGCCTTGGCCTAATACACTCTGTTCCCTGGCCTTTTTGCGGAAGAGCTGTTTCCTGCACGAGAACACATTCGTGTTTGTGACACACTTTATTTGAAAAAGAAAAAATCGTATCCGTGTATATAGCGATTCCTTTCCTAAGCCTCTTTCATGATGACTCAGCTCTCGTTCTGGCTCTTCTCTGGTTCCTGCACCTTCTCCCTGGGACAGCCTCGACCCAGCCTATGAAAGCAGCTTTCTGAACAAATTTTGGCAACTGGACTGGAAATGACGCTATTTATATATTTGATTGCTGCCTTGAATTTCAAAAACAGCCCTGAAAATCTGGGAGTGGGTACCCCACTCCTAATGCAATATGCATACATGCATGTGGACTGCATTTTCTTGGAACCAGAAAAATTGCCTTCCTGCCTCTCAGTGGACAAAAGCTGCACAACTATATCGATGCAGTTTATCTGCCATAGGAAAATTAAACTACATTACTATAAATGTAGCAATGCTAGGAAAACTACACCGATGAACATTCAAAAGTGTCAGTGAACACACAAAACTCATACCCTGTGTATCTGAAAAATCTCCAAGACAGTTCCTTTGCATGTGGTTAGGTTTGTTCATTGTATAAGAAGGAACAGATCCAGGATAAGATCTTGATTACAGAAAAGCAGAGATTAGCAGAATTAAAGAGAAAAGCAGAATTAAATATGCTTTTTAGCTACAAATCTTCTTTAGGTACTTCTGCAACAACTCTCATGAACAAAACACCGCACCTATAGTGCTTAGATTCAATTACTATTCCTGTGAACCTAAGCTCATGTTACTGATTATTCACAAGCTTAAGCATTTGTAGGATGGCAAGTATATAAAAAGTGTGAAGATAGCTATCTTGTAATGACTTTCTTCACAGCCCAAAGACTTGCCCGCACCTAGACTGTGTCTGTTCCTAATAAGAAAGATGACCTCACTTTGAATTTTCATATTGCAAGTATATTCTAGCAAACAATAGGTCTCTGATCAATTTAATATAGTTTGATAACACTTCTGAAACTCCTTAATGTTTATAATCAACACACAGAATGTTGGAGGGTCTTTTAAGAGCTGGATGGTTAGAATTTAGTTAATTACAGGTAGCAGTCCATGTTTCAGTTTTAGCATCTGCAGGATGTACCTCTGAGGAGGAAAAGACAATTTTGGCTCAGGCTTGCACTGCACTGTCCCTCTGAACAGAGCATTTGTCTCCCTACTGAGCTCAGCACGGAGTTCTGTGCATCCTGGGATCCTCTGGCAGCAACCTACTTTCACAGCTTCAGAGCAGATCCTCCGCAGTTTGCATCGCCATTTATTCGTTCGCAGGTCTTGAACAACAGGCTTCCACAGGCAAAGAGAGGGCTCTTTTGCATGCAAAAATATTTTTGTAATTTTAGAATCTACTTTGGGAACTGTGTTTAATTTAGTTATTTACACATCCACATGTATGTCTAGGAATTTTGCAGTTCTTTTAAGACTCTGTTGTAAAACTTGCATAAGCAGTAACTGCTAGGCCTATACTTATTAGTGTGAACTTGATTTATTAGCCTGGTTTTAGAAACTGTCTTGTATGTCAATACTGACAACGATGTCATGGATTGTGTGTAAGACTGCCCTAGGGAAAAGAAAAAATGAGTACACAAGGACTTAAGCGTGGAAAAAAGAGAAACTGGATAATAGTAAGAACCACTCCCCACCCCCAGCTATTCACTTATAGAAAGAGTGGGCATCGACGTTTCCAAGCTTCATATCAGTATTCTTTCTGATTATATATCCTGGACCCCTGGAATTGGGTTTTTAAGCATTTAAGCATTTAATTGAGTTTGTTCAATGAAATAGCTATCAAAGAACTTAAGCCCACCCTCTGGGCTTCTGTGTGATTAGAAAGGGCCCGTCTGGTACTCCACAAGTGGCACCGCACACAAAATTTGCAATGGAGATCAATACGTGTATACAAGCTCTGTGCCTTTAACTTCTTCAGTCTGATATGGGCAGGGTCGCCATGCCTCATGTTTATTTGCAAAAGCAATTTCCATGCATCTACCCAGTGCTGAACATGTTGCTACAATCTGAGTTACGCAAACACCAGAATTTTAAAGCAAGTCTGCGTTAGGCAATGGCTTTGTTAAAAGAGGCAGATTTCACTTTGAAACCCAGGTTTGGTTTGGCAGGCAGAAGGAGTGGGAAAACAGGAGAGGTACAGCCCAGTTCCCAGTATCTTTTGGAAACAGAGTTAATAGGGAAGGATGGACTCAGAAAAAATGGACTCAGAATTACTCAGAAAAATCCATGGACAGCAAAACACTGACAACATAAGAAATTTCCTAAGGGAATAAGACAGAACTAGAGAAGCCTCCCAGGCTCTGTGGTCAGGGAGGGAGGCAATGGGGAACCCTGTCCCATCATAGGGAAAGGAGAGATGCATGTATGCTTCTAGGGTGAAAAGACTGCAAGTAAGTTCTTCTTGAACCATTGTTTCTTTTCCTCCATCCACATCCAACTATTCGATCGTGACAGGAGCTCTTGTTTGCTAGCTACCACAAGGAACCCAAATGGAAATTGTACATGCTGCTGTGATTCTTGTGAGCATATATAGTTATATCTTCTAATGCTTTGTGTTTCACTGTTGCATAGGACAGAAAACAATCTGTTGTCAATATATGGGTACTAAAAAGAAAAATTAATTCCAGGACACGCTGCATAATGAAGTTTATAGGAGATCATTAAAAAGCAGAAATGGGCCATATATGCTAGTGAGTGATGCTCATCATAGAGTCATTTCTCAGAAATAGAACTGAGACTGTGATTTTTTTTTTTACTATTACTGAGAACATGTGCCACAGACATCATTTGCACCAGGGATGGAAGAAAACTATTAAATCACAGTTCACACCCTGCAGATGGAGCAAACCATCTTCTACTAAAGAACCTCACAGATATTTAAAGGACAACATGTAATCTTCTGAGATCCAAGACTAGTAATTACACAAATGCACGCTGAACTGATCCTAGTGTGCCTGCTGAAAATTTCACTGGAAATGCCACATGAGAAAGAGACAGTTACATTTCCAACTCTTCCAACCACTTCTGGATCAGCATTATTACTTATAAACTTGTACACCTTGCACACACAAAAAGATCCTGAAAAATCACTTCATTTTTATATTCTCTTTAGCATAAATTATATGTAAAAAAGAGGCCACTACATCTTCTAAGAACATTTTCTCTGAAAACATTTCTAAATCGGGATATTTCGATGTTATCTCATTCCACTTGGACAGACCATTTGCTTCAGCATTTCCCAGTGCTCTCAACTCCTTTTCGAACGTAATTCAAAGGTAGAATGAAAGCGAAATATGGGCTATAAACCTCAAAGGTGTGTTGGTGTTTAAAATAAAGTGGTTTATAATCCTCAGAACAACACATATTACAAAGTTACTTAACAGAGGAACAGAAGAGACCAGCTCAAGCGTTTATTGCATTGTCAGATGTAAAAATTTATTTATCAAGTGTTTAGATTTACAGAAGACGACACTTCAACTGCAGGTCCAATTGTTCATCTCAGTACTTCTTACACTGGAATAATCTTGACATTTCCAAGTATGATTTTTGCAAGATGGCTTGGAACAGCTGAATCTCATGCTTAACGGCCTACCTCACAAGCTCAAAGACCATTTTGTATTTGTGATTTCTCATACTGAGCAGATGAGAATAGCAGAAATCTTAAGACCATTGTAATCCACAAATACTATCACTACTGCACTCAGAGCATCAGTAAACTACATCGCCCTGTGTTACTAACATTATAGCTAGTCTTAAAAGACTTACCACACACTTCTCTAACAAAATGCCCTTTTTACATTAAAACAGAACTGTGCATCCGTTTGGCTTGGTTTTACTAAAAAGTAACATCAGTCACCTGTTTGTTTAACTTCACCACTTGTGTCGTGCTCCTTTCCCCTACCCTCCCACTTAAGAACAAAGATACTAAAACAGGCAGTTTAATTGTAGCACTGAGGTAGCATATTCTAGTCGAACAGAATAATAGGTCTGCTATTGTGCATTCTCCCCTTTAAAGTACAATTAAAAAAAAATTTCAGTTTCTTTGGAGAAGATAAGTGAAGACAGTTCATTTCCAACAGCCACTTCAGGTTAACTTCAAAGGACAAGCATCTCTGAATGGCAGATATGTTACACCAGGTGGAATGAAGGCAAACATGTGCAATAAGAAGGAATTACGTCAGTCATTTCAGCTCTACTGGCCCCTATTATGAATGCACCTTTACAGTCTCTGAAATTTAAGTCTCTGAGCTGTGTCTCAGTTCTTCTAAATGTGTTTGACCCAGAGAAGATCAAATGGGTGTGACAAAACCAAAAGAAACCAAATAGGTCTAACAAAACCAATAGGAAATACCAGCTTGAGTATATTAAGAGAGCCACAGTTACAGGCAGAAGATGTAACATGACTAACTGAACGAATTGAGAGCACTTTCTACTTCCTTCATCTAAAGTCAGATCTGGGGATAGCCTTAAAAATCACTGCAAGAGCAGAAGTTTAGCTTCATAAGGAATTGAGAGTAAAAAACCATTTCTCAGCTTTCTTCTGCTGTCTAAAAGCTTTAAAACAAACAATAAAAACAAAAAACAAACTCCTGCATATTTTGGGGTGAGCAGTAAACAGTGATCTTGAAGAGCTGCTGCTCCATATGCTACGCTGGTGCAGGTGGCCCTGGCAATCTCTGCTGCACTGTTCACAACTCCCTGCCCTGGGCTGGAGCTTGGAAACCCTCCTCCTCTCTGTCTTTCAGAGAGGAAGGCAAAAATATCACTGTGGTTAAAATACCTTGAGCTTAAGCTGCATGCAGAAGAGAAATTGCTCTTTAATATCTTGGAAAGCAGGTGAAGAATATAACTGAGCAGCCTGCTAAATGACCTCTCAGAAAAACATGTAAATGGTAGAGGGAAAATGTAAATTAAGTTAACATGACCAATTCAAGCTGTTTAGAAAGAGAGATTTTAATGTTAATCTTTCAAGTAATCTAAGATGCACTCCAACACCGGTTATCAAAACTTTTAAGGCTTTTTTGAACACCCTTTTAAATACAAAGGAGTATTAAACAGAAGGAACTTGTTTACAGCAAATACAAACATCTGAAAAAATCTCTGAAATCTGTTTATACAAATACTAATAAATTCTTTAATATTTTGTACAACTAGAAGGTGCACAGACTGGCATTCAAGCGGTCAATGCTGGCAAACGTCTGTCAAACAATAACATGATTTACTTGGATAACAATATAGTTTAAAATGCCATAAATTAAAAATAAGTTAGTTCACATTTTTTCCCCCCAGCATTTATGTACATCTTAGTCTTTAATGAGATCTTGTAGCCTTCTTTAGAAGTTCCAGGTCTTTCCGTCGGCTTTTGATAGCTCTGGCACAGCCATACTCTTCCAGTTGTAATGGGATATACTTTTCTATCTGAACTAGCCCTTGCCCAGCAGGACTGGTAAACAGCTTAATCCAGGATGGCTTAACGTTTCCTTTGAAGCCCAGAAAGGCCACGCTTCCTGTGACAAAAAACAGCTCAGTATTATAGAAGCAGCCAAATCCATTCAAGTACAACACACTAACAGCTCAGGAAGAAAATAATGCGCTACTGTGCTACTCTCCCCCCAGGACTCCTTAATGCATTTATCCAATCTCAGCTTCCCATGCAACTCACAAGGAAATACTAGTTGGTACTTTTTTTTTTTTTTCCATTCGGTATTAAATATTTTGAAATCTTTATTTGAAAACACAACTTGCACGTCAATACAGGACTTGCGCCAGGACCCTGAACTAGGGCCGTGAGGCAGAGCGTGGTCTAGTCCATGTGATCTATAAAGACAGCGTCCCTCAAAATACCAGCAGCTTCTAATCGCTGCGTTCAGGTTTTGTTAGAACAGGAAGCACTAGACTGGCACAAGGACGCTTTTAAAAACAGAACCGAAGCCCCTCAGATTTGCTGGGTGTGGCACAAAAATCTAAGCTTTGAAAAAAAGTCTGCAGAGAAGAGGAAGATGCAAAACTTCACCAACCGTTGCTCTGAAGGTAAGGCAGTTTGGCTGTCCCCAGGGACAAGAAGGCTTCTGATATATTAGGGCTGTCTATATCACCTCTTGTGCTCAGCAGAACTATAGACCTGCATCAGAAACAATGCAGAGATGGCAATGCTTGTAAACTCGCAAAGTTTTCCTGAATACTTTGTTGCATGCTTTTACAATTAGCTGGCCCAATAGTCCACTTGCTTCATAATACTCATGGTAACGCTACACATAAGAGATAGACAACATTCTCTGGAAAGGGTTCCTAGAAAATAGTCCGTTTTAGAAAATAATTGTTATTAAAAAACAAAACTTACTTTTAAAATTGATTTCAAAATCATTTGGAAGTCTGATTCAAGTACGGTTTGTTCAATGAATAAATATTTTTGTATCAAAAACACATGAAAATTTTGATACAAAATTAAAATATTAGAAAGTTCATTTTTCTGATGCTAACTTTTTATCTTTGTTTAAAATGGGTTTAGGGATAAGTAGTTTTCACCGTGGATGAAAAAGAGAAGTCATTCACTAACAGTATAACATTTTGTGATGTACTTCAGATTTTTAGATAGTTCCAGATTTTAAGAGAAGTGAGAAAATTTGAGAAAATCTGAAATACTTAGTGTTGCCTGTCTTCCACCTCAAAAGCAAACTTCCTTATTTAAATTTCATGCAATAACCTTTTTTTAGCTTAAAAAAATTCTGTGTATGTTGTAATATTATATTGTCATTTAAGGCACTGACAAAAACTGTTAAAATGCTCCTGTTTCTCTCTCTTTCACTCACCTTACATATGTTTGGTTCACTTACAGTGCTTCTGTAAAAACGTAGCTAGTGAAATCCTTGTTAGAGAGCAAAATATTTCCACACAGAACTACAGTTTACAGGACATACGGTAAATAAACAGTCATTTCACATACCTTTGTGGAATTCCAGATTTTAAATATCCATCTACACGCTTAATGTCTACTTCAGAAAATAATTTATTTCCTGACACTGTGCCAACGCAGGCATCAACTACAACAATAAGTATACCATTATCCTTGAGGGAAAACATAGTGTCATTGACCTGAATGAAAAGAGAAAAAGATGGGAGGGAAAAAACAGATTTTTTTTTCAGTTACCTATGAATTCAACAGCTATTCTAACGCGCTCAAAGTTATCTTCATCTAGCTTAGACACAATGGTGTACAACTCTTCCCCAAAACACTTGCTTCTCGTTAGCATCTCTTCACTTTTCCCCTGGAGAGCAGACTTCTTGTGGGACTTCTGAAATTGCATTGGAAGTCTTGAGTCAGCTGCTTTTATGTGAAGATCCTATGTTTCAGAGGAGTTACTCCTGCCTTGGGTGAGTTCTCCCCTTCGGAGAAGCTAATGTTCAGATACTGAACTGTCTGCACCTCTTGCAAGAGCTTAGTTAATCTGCCTCTGCGGCAATCCAGTTTTAGCCCTGTTTTTCCCATGAAACACCCTTACTGCTTATGATTAGGTACAGAAAGGCCCCTAAAAGTTTGCAGCTTCTGTGTCAAGACTGCTGTGCTAACAGATTACAATTGATTTGTTCGTCTAGGTAACGCAGAGTTCCACTATTTCAACCTAGATAATGCATTTAAATAGCAGAGAGTAAATCACATACAGATTTTAAGCTCTGTGGTGTGAAGATACCCGCAAATTCGATCTTCAGCATCATGTACAAGTCTCCCTTAGCTTCCAAACACACACCAAAAAAAATCGAAGTAAACTAAGTTACAAATACAAAAATCTTCAAAACTGTAATTAGAAAAGGATCCATAGAGGAGTTTAACAACGCTTAATGGTTTGCATGACTTATCCTATTAACGTCATTCATCTGTTAGCACAAAAATTATTTCAGCAAAATGGATTATTTAACAAACAGTTTTTTCAAAAGAAGCCATCAACAAATGTATAACAAACCAGATTTCTACAGGAATCTGCACATTTTAAACTCTTCTTTACTGGTACAATTTTCTTGCCAGCAGCAGAGGATTTGAATACATAACAGAAGACTTTGGAGCCTAATTTTCTGAGGTAAAAACATCAGCTTGTTTTTTTTTTTTTTTTAAATTAAGAATCAACAGTTATCTGAGTGAAATGAGCTCAGCATTACGTAAAGCTGTACAACTGCTGTAAACAAACTCCCGAAGAGAAAGCTTGTTAGAAGAACACCATAAGCAGTACTTACAGAAATAAATGCTTGCTGACCTCTGCTTAACTCTTTTTTACCAGGAGAATTAATCTGCACAAGGAGGTAGTTTTTGTGAGGATCACTGGTGAATACCATCTGGATATCAGACAAAACAGTTTAAGTATACACATGCAGATGTCATCAACACTTTACCACACAAGGTTTAACTTACTCAAATAATCTATGCTCCAAAGCCAACGTATGCATGTAATAATCAAAGATGCCATTTCCATTACTAGCAACGACAATCAATATAATGATATATTTTACCTGAGTTGTGCCACACTTTGTGCATGGTACAGAAGTTTTTACTGGCATTTGCTTTATGACAGTTGGCCCTTGGTAGTACTTTGGATAAGCCTTTGCCATGCAGTTGCTGATCCCTTTTGCTGAATCTTTGGTCACAATCTTGATCCTTTCACATCCCTGAGATGAGCAATAACTGTGACCATCCCTATTATATTTGGCTTGAAGAAATAAAAACAGTAATCTATGCAAAAGGTGAGAAAAGAAAAAACAAAGGTAGATCATTTGCTAGAAAGATACATATTCTAACAAAACTTTATGGCTACATTCCATGATTTCAAGAAGCAGGGAAAAAACAGTATTTACACCAGCATTTACTTCTATACAATTGTTTAAGCTATTTCAAAATATTTACAGTTTTTATTAGAGTTAGGAAGTCTCTACTGACATAGCTGAAATCCCTAACAATTACAGGGGACATCACTACGAAGGCATCTGTTCTGAAAATAAGAGCCACTCCTCAAAACAGAGGCTTGCAGGAAACAAAAAACAAACTGCTGAGCACAAATGTTTTCTTTGATCGTAGATCTTGACAGATACCCAGCAGTAACTGTTTGGATATTCATCTTCACCCACCAAAGCCAGACAATGTAGTTGTACTCCTGCATGTTAAGCAAATGCCTGGAAACGCATTTAAGGGGGTAGTGGTCATTATTGTTCTCACAATAGAGTGACTCACAATAGTGTTCTCACAATAGGGCACAGAGACTGCTAATAGTTCTTCTATCATTTAATTGCTATCATGGAAGCTTTTAGACAAAGGAAACTTAAATGTCTTTTTAAAAGGAACATTCATCAGCACATTTACCACAGAAGGTCAGAGTAACACACAAGGGAACAAAGCCTGTATTAATCATTTGCTCATAAACTGAAGAACAAAATTTGCTAACGTGCAACTGATGTATGGTAGCAGGTTTACCATGTCCTAAATTTCCTAGAAGTGTCGCAGTGTCAAAAGTACTTTTGAAGAGGAGACTAGGACTTTTAGGTATTTCAGATGAGTCTGAAAACAGAGTAGTATTTTCAGAAATGGGTACATGTGATCTTTAAAATATTCCTGAAATCAAAATATTTTCAGAAGTTTTCAGAAATTTCAGTTTAACAGGAGGGCACAAAATTTTCTTTTAAGACCTTAAGCAACCAAGTTACTTTCTGAACGACACTGCTCTGCAGCATTCCGTATACCATGCTTTTTGCAGGCTTGGGACAGCAAATAGCTGTGACAACTATAGCATTCTCGGAAAAAAATATTTTAATGACAACCACCGTATTTCGGAAATTAGAAGTCAGGTAAAGTGCTCTTTCCCACATGCTTTGGGCTCCTTTGAAATCACTTTCCTCTTATGAACACATCTCAGAGCTGATTTTAACAGTATCAGGCTGGCCATTTTAAGGTTGAACACCACACCTTCCTGTAGGGCCAAGCTACAAGGAGTTACCCAGTACTGCTGTCGAAATAAAACTTCTTGTCTGATCGATTCTTTTCGAGTTCCAGCATTGAAGATACAGGAGTATAACGCTCTATCTTGCTTGATAGAGCAGATGACTGCCTCTGAAAGGTTTCCAATACTATAACAAAATCCGTATTTGGTTGATAACAAAGACCAACACGAATCCAGTCATTCCTGGAAATAAAATCAAACGTATGATTCACCGTTAAGAATGGTTCAGGTGACAATGTGCAACAAACAGATCCATTCAAACAAGAAGTAACAGGAACACAGAAATACCCCCACATCCTCAAACCAGAAGACCTTTCTTCCCCTCTCTGCATAAAACGTTTCATTAAACTTTACAGTAATTTTGATGCCCTTAAGCTAGGTTTAATCTTATACTTCAGATATGTAATTAGTTTATCTGACAAGATTAAATGTGTCAAACCACTCAACTCCCACTCTGCACAAATTCACTATTAGACACTTTTTCTCCAAAAGATTTTCCTTAAAGACACTCTTTTAGCTTTAGGTGCATGTCTGCTGTTTAAGCTCAGGCTTTTCACATTTTAATATTTGTAGCAAAGATCAAGATCCAGTTTCATCAATGGTGTGCAACTTTCATGGATGCTAATTCCGCATGTCATTACTTCGATGATACTTTATAATATAACCAAATAACAAGAACCGAAAGAAACATACTTGTTGAAGTTAATGAGGTAAAGATAAGTGACATTTGGAGCTTTTCCATTCCAATGTATTGTGTAGCCCTTTTGAAGCATCACTACTGGCTGGTACTGTTGAAAGACGGCTCTCTGATTAATACCTCGCAGAACCATGGGATTGGATGGGTATTCATCTCGTACAATGGTCATGGAAAGGTTCTGCCCGTTCCATGTTTGGATATAAACCTATGGGGTATTAACAGGGAGGAAAAGAAAGAAGGGTTTGGACACAATCTTTTAGTCAGTGCAAACAGAAATTAAGTATTGAAGAATAACCAGTACATTATGAACAGAGCTGCTACGTTCTGAGGTTCTGAACTATGCAAGACTCAAACAGAACTCTTTTTAAAGAGCTGTTTGTAGAAAGATTGTAGATTTTGCCCACCTTACAGACTAAAAAAGGGATGAAGAAAAGAAAAGAGAGGTATAGAATCAATATTGCTGGGTCAGCAATGATCTGCTGGGTCAGATTCACACCCAATGTGAAGCAAAAATTGGATTTTTCTAGAGAAGAGATTTGTAGTTCAGAAAGCTCTATTTAACATTTTCATTAAAACAAACAAACAAACACACACACACACACACACACACCACACACACAAAACCAAGAAAACAAGACCCAACTCATGAACAAAAGATGGTACTCCAGTGGAAGAAAATCTCCAACGTAAAACTGTCTTAGCAGACAGGAGTGCAACATGGAACTTACAGTATGCAAACTCACAGCATAAACATTTGCTTTTACCTCGCTCCATTTAATATTATCTTCCCTGTCGACACACTGAGAGTTAAGCAAATTACAGAACTGAAATATACAGAGCTGAAAATATATACAATACACATAAAAGTAGTTGAAATACTTTTAAAAACACTTTGAAGGACTTTTTTTTTTAAACTAAAGATAGGAATTTTGTTATGCTATCTCTTCAATTGTTCACATTCTAGATTTGTTTTAAACAGAAGGCAGCACCAGTACTAGCCTGAGCATACGTCCCACTGCAAATCACTCCATTCCATTCTGTATTGTTAATGCATTTGGGGTGCTGAATCAGGTAGTTATCCATCCTGCCAACATAGGTATCCTTGTAATCAGTCACTGAACCATCTAGATCATGGAATATTGAGGTCTTATCACCATCCAGATCTCCATCTTCAAACCAGGGACCAGGTTTTCCAAAGAAGACTTTCAGAGAAACCTGGTAATAACAATTCAAATAGTTAACTTATTGCTAGGTGAAGCACAAAGTAACACTTGCACAACTCCAGAAATAGAGGAATTTGACAGAGTTTTTTTAAAAACTTTCTGGAAAAAGCAGTGAAATCTTGCAAACAGAATTTCATTTTTCAGTAGTACGCTCAAGTTCAAATCTTTTGCCCAAAAGTTCCTTATTGCAACACACCCTCCATCTCAAACAGTATTTCTTTTTGTTCAGGGGACAAAGGACACCCCTTGGGTAACTTCTCACCAAAAGATAAAGTCTGCAATAGGGATGTACGGAAAAGATGACTGGGAGCTTTCAGATGATAAAAATACAGCAAGAACAAAGCGAAACCTCTTACAGCAATAAAAGCAAACTTGTAACTAACTTACATTGGGACCAAACTTCACAAGAGAAATGTTGTTTTTAGGTGTCATCTGCCATGTGTTCTTCATCAAGAAACCAACTGCACTGGTAAATCTATCTGGAGTTGGCACAAAGTTTTTAAATGTGCATTTGGTTAGATGAATAGGTCCATCATAAATCTGAAAACCTCTGATTGGAAACGTCCTGTTAATGTAAGTAAATATTTAATGGTTTTTAAAATAGCATTTGTAACAAGAGCTGGTGTCCCATTCAAGAATCAAGAAAGCAACATGAAGACAGTGACCCACAAATCAGATCTCAGTAAAGGAAAACTTGTTTCTAGACTTATCTATATGACTCCAAAATTCCCAAAGAGCCTGGAGTCTTTGAATTAGAAGGAATAGCTGCCACAGTCCATCTGCAAACCCATCTCATCCCCAAGGAGGGGGAACACCACAGGAAAATACTACCACTTGCTCGACTAGCCTGACTACCTCATGAATCACCACGATGTTCACTTCCCAAGTAAGTGAGCCCTCACAAACGGCTAAGCTGCATAAAACCAGTCTCGGCCTCAACCCAGCTTTCATCTCTGGAGCAAGGGGTATGATCGGGCACTGCGCTGAAAAAGCATCACATGAAGCCAGAGGGAAAAAATAAAGGATCATTGTCAGAGACAGATTTAGTCTGTAGTCCCAACCTATCCCTTGAATTCCCTTTACCTGAGAGCTTTTTTTTCTTTCTTCCGAGCCCAGCTGTTTTAAAAGGCTAGGCTTTCATTACTATGTAGGATAACTTAAATTGGTAACGAAGAAAAGCTTTCGGTAGCATAAAATCCAAACAATTTGCAAAAAGACAAAAGTGAAACACCTATCATGCAAAGTGTTAAAAACACTATTACCTTCAACAGAGTCTTCATCTCCTACAGATCACGTAAAAAAGGGGCTTACATCTCATACAAAAAACATTTCAGGGGCAACAGTTATTTCACTCATAAAATACTTACCGATTTCTAGGCAGAGTGCGTGCTTTATTGTCTATTCCTCCAGTTCCCCCATATTTATTTTGGCCACCTGGAAACCCATAATTCTTGCTCTCACCTACAAACAGAGACTCAGATACCTCCTGGCTGGCACCTTCGTCATTTGGGAAGCTCCCATCACTATCAAAGCAATGTCAGAGATAAGCTTTTAGTTAATGTTCACCGGCACGTGAAAAAACCAAGCCGTGGTGCTATTTCTCTTCTTACAATGGTCTTCATAAAGCAAAGCAGTCTACACCTCATTTACAATACATAACGCAATAAATTTAATCATTAACAGTATTTCAGACTAATTGTTTAAGAGACTGAACATACTTGCCCAGAGCTGAGCACTACATTTTCTTGTCTCCCCTTGTAGTCCTGCACTTTTAGAGCTCACAGCCGCAGTTCTAGACTCAGTTTGCTGTTACCTAACCTGGCAACAATTTTGGCATTCTACCAAAGCCACTTAATTGCCTTGTATTAAAACAGCACTCTGCTTGCTTGGAAAACTCATCTCCTTCCACTTCCTCTACTCAACTCTTCAGAGAGAAAACCAAAACTGCCTAAGGAGACATGCTATACTAAAAACACTGGGATAAAAATAAACATTTTGGTGAAGAGGCAGCAAATTTTGCTGTAAAGCCAGTACATGCTGAATTAAAGTGCAAGCTTTGACAATCATGCCAATCTACAGCCTGAATATCGTCTTTTGCACCCCTGGAAATAGACCAGGATCCAGAAATGACACTACAGCCTTATGCAAGTACACCCGTTCATTTTGATAGAAGGATTGCTATCATCAGAACTTTTAAGCATGCAAAACCACAAGTGATTAACACAAAGTACTCACCTAGCAAACGTCAAACCTATTCCATTGTCTGCAAACCTAGAAGAAAGTTTATCAAATGAAGCTTCAAGCCACATTTTCTGAATTATCCTTCAACAAACTATTGTAAGAGTACAGCATGTTCTGAACTACATAAAGCTCAAGTTTTTGTAGTAATGGAATTTAGAAACCCTCCACCTTTATAAATACCTCTTATAAAAATGCTGATGTTAAAAAGAGATGAAGTAATCTTTTACATATTTTAAGTGGAAACACTATAGCTTCAGGGAAACCATAAACATCTCAGTACAAATGTAGCGTCTCAACCACCTTTCGGAATTCGTTTTTTTGGTTAAGCAAATTTCTTGCTTCCATTTAAGTACGTTCCCATTTAATCATGTATTAACTTGTTTCATCTAAAATTGTGGGATGTTGTGAAAGTAATGGAAGATGATGAAAAGCTCCCAGAGTCAAGCATCAGTCCGCTCTTACAACCCTGTTGTAATATATTGTCATAAACGCACCTTTAGAGGAAATTTCTTTAACCTAATACAGCTGTTTACTTCTGGATACCTACCCAGAGTTCTGAATGAGGATATCCCCTCCCCTGACCCAGGCCCCATGATCGTTGTTTTTGAAAGAGATCAATCTGTCAATCAGGGCAGCAACTCGGGGCTTCTCAGGGTCTGCATCTTGATGAGGCCGAAACCTGGGGCAGGAAAAGCAAATGCTTAAAATAAAAATATTATTTGCTTTGTATGTGTAGGGCTGAGAGAACCTGAAAGCTAAACACTTGCACTCATCTGAGAGACGAAATTCAACTCTGCTTCACGTTTGGAAGCGACAGAAACCAGAACTACGCGTATCTGTAATTCTCCATTTCTAGAGCTGTGTAGACACTTTCCTAATCAAGGGGGAACTTCTCTTTTCCCAGAACTCTCCAGCTCTTCGTTCAACCTCCCTCAATTTCTCAGGCTGCGCTTCACCTTAGCTTTAGACCCTGGCTTTTTCTCCCTGCCTTATGCATCCTTTCCCCACTTGTACTGCAGTATTAACATGAAAGTTTGCTGGAGGGAACTAAAGCTCCTTGGCAGGGCACACGAGGCTGCCCTGCACCAGACAAAAAAAGGGCTGGAGGTTTGTTTGACTGCTCCTTCAAACCCGCATGGTGTTGAGGAGCGCTCCGCGTGGGAGCACAGCCGACATACTCCTGTATTCCAGCTCAGACGAGGGCTCCATATTGTCACCAAGATGGTCTCACAGGGTAAGCTATGGCTGGGATCTATTTTAGCCAACAGGGAGAAATAGCTGGATTAGCAACTGGTGGAAGTTGTCACATAAATTACCCTTGAAATTGCAGGGGAAAGGCATTGTAATTCATAATAAATTTTCAAATACAATCTGCTCAAATTGCAGTTTCATAAAAAATATTTATTCCCCTCATCTCAACCAGTTTGCACTCTATTTGGGATCTGCCGTATCATGATCCGTGTTCTGGAAGTTTCCTTGGGCAGGCAGAAGAAGTAGGGATTGTTTGGTTTTGATAGTCTCTGGATCCATGACTGAGATTCAAATTCCTCCAGGCTGACTCCAATCATTAGTGGCCTCACGTCATTACATTCAAGTGATCAGTACAGTAACCAACACAGTCATCTTCCTGAACTATATTTTCAGTTTTAAGGCTCGGTGGCTACAACAGATTATTGATGAATATAACTACTCAGTATTTTCCTTGCCATCTGACATTTGGTCACTAACCAAAGATATTTTATTTGAAGTTCAGGATAAGACTAGCCAGATACAATATAACGTAGAATTTTCCTAGATTCTCCACTATTGTCTCTCACTTTGTAAGCTAAATAAACTGTGTTCGGGGTGTACTATCTCAGCAAATAACCTCCAATAAAACTGTACCACTACACTATGAACTCTAAGTCTAGGACGTATGCCAGGAAACATTCAGCAATAGGAAAGGCAAGTGGATGCATTACTTACCACTTGGATGCCTTTTTCAAACAAGTATTTATGACTGAATCATCAATCAGAGAAACAAATTTTAAAATATACCTTTACCTTTAGCAGCAATAGCTGAAAAAGATACTCTGCCTGTGACAATGGAGTATGGTTAAAATGAATTCCAAAAGGCTGAAAACCACTTGGGCAAGGGCTCAGGAGGAACAGCCAACCCTTTTAAGGCACACTATGCTCCATTTTTCCGAACACACACACACACATATACACCTTTTTTCTGATATGACCTTATTTTTCAGTTATTATTATAATATTTAGAATATGCTTTTTCTCATGTGAAGGTACAAACCATTTATTACCTTATCTATTTTTCACACATTTGAGACAAAGAACATCCTTTACCTTGCATTGTTGTCCAAACAAAGGTATTCTCTGGGATCGTCAGCACTAGCATTAGTTGTTTTAACACCTTTATCAATGAACAAACCAGCCTGAAAGAAAGAAAGAAAGAAATTTCATACTATCCAGGTGGAGGAAGGGGAGGAGGAGGTGTAGGAAAGAGGGTGGGTGTGTGGGGCAAGGTGTGAATGGAGGGTGAGAGGGCTGGAGGGGTTGTTGTGGAGTGGGGCTGTGTGTGTAGTGGGGTGTGTTTTGTGGCTGGGGGGGGTGTTGTTGGGGGGTGTTGGGGTGGGGGGGGGGGGGAGGAGGAGACTCGCATAGGATTAGAAAACAAATAAACAAACATGCACACACGCATACTCCATTCTTGGAAAAATCATTAAAGTTCATTTTAAATTTCTTTCACATCATCTGACTATCTGGGGTTTTACACTTTCTTCCATATGCTGTTTAAGACAATCTGGAAATCAATCTTGTGATGAATTTAAAATATTCTCACAAATATCACCAATGGAAGAAGAAAAAAAAAAAAAAACGAACTGTGCAAGATTGCTTGGGTGAAAGTTAGCTTTAGTGGTAAAGGTGATTTAAACTAAAAGACAAAACAATCATCATCATCAACTTGAAACTCAATTATATAGCATGAAATAATTTACTTTTGAAAATAAAAGCATTTTTGTGACTAATTTAACAAATTAAATACAGTGCAGGTGCACCTGTCTTCACCTGTGGTCCAAATTACGATTAGAAGTCACTGTTACTATACAAGAAGATCTTCAGATCTGCTACTGGAGTTAGTTCTTTTAACGTGTAATTTAGCACGCAATTTTCTATCTTTAAAGATCACAACAGTTACACTGCTGAAACACTTTTTTTCTTTATGATGCACTCTTGCCTTCAATACATTTTAATTCCAATCTGAAAAATTGCCCTATAGTCTTAAACAAACCTTTCCTTAACATAACTTCTATAAAATGGTGCACCCACACTTTGACAGTTAGGTGGCTGAGGTACTAACAAGTAAAACAGAGAATTTTTTGGCTAAGAAAACAACCAAGACTTTAACACAGAAAGACTCTGCAAATACTGATTCTGGGTTTTATTAGGTTAGCTTCACAGCAACAAAAACAGACGCTGAAGTTAAGCAGCTTTACAAACGTCATAGATACCTACACAGACAGCAGCTACCTTCAGAGTGAAAGCACCAGTTAAAGGACTTGAACTGACTTCACTCAGCAGAACGTGGAAAAGGTTAAAATCACTTTAACAAAACAACAAGGAGCGCATGTACCTAGAGTGAGAACCCTCTCACAAAAAATTGCTGCCAATAGGTGGACTTCTAAAGGCAGCTGAAAGTATAATCTCTAGTCATGCTGCGTCGCCGTGTGGAACTACTCAAGTATGTAGAAGACTCCAGGAAAACACGTCACAGCTCTTCTGTGAATCATAACCATAATGAACCTCACTACTTCAGGGATCAGCTTTCTTCAAAGTAGCAAACAATGCTGCCAGTAAAACTGAACAGTGTCTGAAAATGTTACTCCTGAGGCAGTGTGTTTCACTAGGAGTATTAGTTGATTTCAGTTGTACGTGCTTTAACAGAACATAAAACACAGTAAGTACTTGAAATGAAACACTGCAAGAAACCACATGCTTTTTATAAACTGTTCCACAATACCTAGACAGAATCATACAGTTCAGTAATAGCCCAAGCTATCACCTAACTGGATTATCATTTAAACAGATGAGTTCTTATATAGAAAAATAACAAAAAAATTTTAAAGTTCTTTAATTATGAGATAGTAGACTACCTTAAAATTGGAGTGAACCCTGTTGTTATAGAAGATTCCTAAAGGTGTAAGCTCTGACTTAGTTTCAATGGCTGAACCATAAGAATCTCCTGTAGCAATCTTGTGAAACAAATACCATATTCCAGCATCCTGCAAATAAGAAGAGAATAATATTACTCATAAGAGAATCTGATACATCAGTGCTGATGTATTTACTTCTAATCACAGACTTGTGATGTATGTTAAATAGAACGTGGATATTTTAAGTAAGGCTGCAGATACGAACAAAGCCAAAATTAACTGCGTACAATGGAACACACTTTTCAAAATAAATTCTCTGAACAGCTGTTTGATAAGAAAGTAAAAATTTTCAAATAAGGATATACTTTAGTGAATAATATCTATTACAAAGTGTTTTGCCTTTCAGTGAAACCACATAACATTACACATTTAAGATCCTCTGATATTTCAAATCACAGGAAAGCGTTGAGCATTTTTTGCATTTGAATTAGACTTCTTCATATATACTTGGTTTCCTTTTGTTACTAGCAAATGATGCTAGTTACTGTAAAATATTCAAAAGCACCTTCTCTCTTTCTTACTGCTATAGTCTGACTAAGATTTGCTCATTTCTGCTTGCATTTAATGACATAGCCAAACCAAAAAAAAAAAACAATAAAAAAAACCACACACAAGAGTTTTCAGGGAAAGCAGAAAAAAAAAAAGTACATCGAGAAGTCTGGCCAGTTTGGAGCACTGTGCCAATAACATGCAGTAATAATTTCAGCGTCTGTTCATTTTCTCTACTTCCTCAACACCCCTGCTCTTAAAGAGCCTCGATTTATCTGGCTAAAGAGGCTAGGTTTATCTGCTAAGACAGACCCATAAAAGTTCCTCTTGTGAGCCCAAATGTGGTTAGAAGAAGAGGCATAGGGACAGTGCCAGAACAGTAGACACCTACAAACATGAGAAAAAAATCTTACATGACATT